ACTCATGGCGGCTCATTGTAAATCTTGGTTCAGATATTTAGGAAAAAATGGCTCTTTGCTTTAAAAAGGTTGCCGACCCCTGGCCTAACCCATCTTGCTCTCCATAACGCACATGTACGTGAGAGAAAGCGTCGCAGCAAAGGGCAGCCACCTGCAACAGCATCCATTGGGGTTGGGGGTTTTGGGTCTTACTCAAGGGCCCACAGACATGTGGCTATTCTGCCAAAGCCAGGCTCAAACCAGCAATTTTCTGATCACAGGCACAAAATTTATTATGCACACCTACGGAGTACCAGGTAGGACCCCCTTTGTCTCCAGAATCACTTTTAGGGTAGAGGAGTTGTCTTCAGAGGAACCTTTCTGCACATTGCTGTAGCACTAAGCCAGTGGTTCCCAAACTGGGGGGCGCAGAGGTATTGCGGAGGGGCGCACCAATAGGATAGCCTCAGGGGCATGTGCAACCCTAAAACAATCTCTTCACAGACTGGACGATTAAACAAATAAAGCAGCGCAACATTACAGTAACTAACAATAAATAAACCACTACCTTACGTGTACTATTAGAGCATTTATGTAATTTATTTAAACTTTATTTTACCAGGTAAATTAACTGAAAACCAGTTCCCACTGCTTTACGTGATATTTGGGAAAAATAGCAGATAACGCATCGGAACTTCCTGGGATACAAACGTCATACAAACGTCACGTTCTTCAGCCAATAAGGGCAAAGTTGTGTCGTCATGGAGGCTGTTCCAGTTTGTTCAGCCGGCTGAGAGGTGCTGTATGATCTGTCTTAAGTCGTTTTCCTCTTGCAAGGTTTTTGTACCATGTGACATGGTGATGCGTGACGACGTTTTGCAGCGCCAGACAAAAAAAATCTAACCATATCATGAAAAATGAGGTTTAAAATTTTCTACATGAAGTGCAGGGAGACTATCAATTAATCGGTATGATTTAGTGTTGTTTTGCGCTATAGTATAGGCTGAAACCTGCGGTTATCATTAAAAACAAAATGGAGAAGAGGTTACAGCACAAAGTGTTAGTGTACTGTACTGTTACGTTTTCCATGGCAGTGTCACGCACGTACAGGCGGTGTCTCGTGACTACGCCGGCACTGTCACAGGACAGCGCAGAAGTGTACTGTTACGTCTGGCATGCACTGCTGAGAGAACGTGAATGCAATATCTATCATTCATTAATAAAAAAATGATTGAAAACCTGATGTGTAACGAATGCTATCATAGGTATTCCAAAGACGCTCCCCCTAGTGGTACATGCCAGTACTTCAGATTGTCACGCTAAATGGGTTAGTTTTCTGTGTTCTTTTAAGAAAGGTTATTTTAAAAGGGTCATTACAATGCAAACAATATGTTGCATGTACAAGTTAATTACAGAGGTGTTTTTATTACAGCATTTACTAAAACGCCATGCGTATATGGCAAGCCAAATTGTCTTTCAATAGTCTACGGCTTAGTCGAAATAACTTGATTCCTACTAGTAGAAATGAGTTTAGTAAAAGTTAAGAACTGTGGTTCTTAGCTATTAACATTAAAGAAATTAACTAAATATGTTGTATAATTGATGTTGTAACACGGATGGTTTTGCGACTAGACAAAAGACAATCAATTAAGAATATTGCTGTCTAGGACTCTAGGTTATTAGTATTTTGCCCTAATAAGCTAGTTACATGCCGTCGGTGACTCTTTGTGACCATATTTCTAACCTTTAAAATATTCAAAATCGGTTTGCGAAGTTATTATAACGATATACACTCACCTAAAGGATTATTAGGAACACCATACTAATACAGTGTTTGACCCCCTTTCGCCTTCAGAACTGCCTTAATTCTATGTGGCATTGATTCAACAAGGTGCTGAAAGCATTCTTTAGAAGTGTTGGCCCATATTGATAGGATAGCATCTTGC